TGTGTGTGTGTGTGTGTGTTTGTGTGTCATCAAAATATTTTTCCCCAACAAAACTGAAAGTGAACTTTCTCACAGATACTGTACATGGTCCTGGAGCTGTCAATGATCTACTGTCCTCCTCCTCCTCCTCCTCCTCCTCCTCCTCCTCCTCCTCCTGTCTGTCCTGGCTCGGAGGAACCTCCGGACCAGAACAAGCGGGACCTGAGGGGGGCATGAACGGCCGTGAGCTCAGCGAGCTCCCGGACGAGTCGGAGCAGCTCAGGCCGTTCGTGGTGAGCCTGAGGCGGTCACTGTCCGAGGAGCTGCCCGCTGCCCGGGTCCTCTCTGACGGCTTCCTCATCAAGTTCCTGCGGGCCAGAGACTTCGACACAGCGCAGGCACTCAAGGTCCGCCTTCACTACTAAACATGCTTTTATTCTTTTTACGCTTTCTCTTTAAGATTTAGCCCTTGTTTGAAAGTGTGAATGTGCTTTCCTTTTTTTTTTACTTTAACTCAGAATTATAAATTATAATGTGCCGGTAGTTTTTTGTTGTTGTTGCTGTTGTTGTTGTTGTTGTTGTTGTTCTGACTCAACTAAACCTCATGTGAGACCCGTCGGAGTCTTCAGAACTATCTGATATGATCTCAGTCACATCACCTGTTATAACAAATGTATTTCCTGCTACTGATGATTCCAAATGTACAAATTCCCCATGATTTACCCATAATTCACATATGCTGTATTTTAGCAAATAAGTCATTCAAGGTGCAAAGTGACTTCATTGTCATTCGCAACACATGTGGTACATGAGGTGGAACGAAACTGTGCACACAAAGTCCCAGTTACACCTAAAAATAGCAAACATATAAAGTTTAAAAAGAAAGCACAGATCTAAGATAATAATGATAATGTAATATAACACAGTCATTAAACAGCAGCCTGAATTTGAGTCTGTTGTGAGCAGATGGGTATGAAAACAGCAGCTTACGGTAAATCAGCAGCATGGATAATCAGCAACATGGATAGTGACAAATCTCATTCCTATTAAAGTGGAATTACAGTGGTTATCTTGGTTAGAAGCTGTTCCTTAATCTAGTGGTTCTACACTTAATGCTCCTGAACCTCCTGCCTGAGAGGGGTGGGGCAAAAAGTGTGTGTGCTGGATGAGTGGGTTCCTTCATGATGCAGGTAGCCCTCTTCCTGCATCTGGAGGTGTAGATGTCTGTGATGGTGGGGAGACTGACTCCAACAGACTTCTGTGCAGCCTTCTCTGCAAAGCTTTTTTTTCTGCAGCTGTGCAGCCTCCATGCCACAAGTTGATGCTGGAGCACAGGATGCTCTCCACTGCACACCTGTAGAAGGAGGTGAGGACTGAGCTTCCCAGACCAGCTCGTCTCATCCGCCTGAGGAAGTAGAGTCTCTGATGAGCTTTCTTGATCAGGCTGGTGGTGTTGTTGCCCCAGCTGAGGTTGTTATTCAGAAGTACACCCAAGTACTTGTAGCTGGAGACCACTTTTACAGCAGATGTTCAGGGGGAGGTATTGTGTTTGCTCCTTCTAAAATCCATGACCATCTCCTTTGTCTTCTTCACATTGATATGAAGGTTGTTTTTCTTGCACCAGCTCTCCAGGTGTTCCACCTCCTGCCTGTAGCTGGACTCATCATTGTTTGTGATGCATCCCACCACCGCTGTATCATCTGCAAACTTTACAATGTGACAGCCTGGATGGGTAGGTAGTGGTACACAGTCCTACATGAGCAGAGTGAACAGGAGGGGGCTCAACACACAGCCCTGAGGGAAGCCATTGCTGAGGATTATGGTGGATTATGGTATCCGCTCTGTGAGTTTTACTAAAATCTTCAGGATATAATGATTGAATTTACATCTTTTTTCATTCGGCTTTATTTATACAGGCTAGCCTCATTGAGTCACGGGGACTCTTTTGCAAGAGGGACCTGTTTTCTACTATTTTACTACTTTTTAACTTCTGGAGTCAACCCAATTAAAGATGGTCAGCACAGATGACTGACCTTAGAGCGTACAAATTATCTGTAATTCCAACAATTTTACAAATATGTTAAAACCTAATGTGGTGGCAGCTGAGAGTCATTCACAACACATAATACAAGTGGTACTCATTGTGTGAGATCTTTCGTTAACATTTGGTTATTAAGTGTTGGTGTCAGTCCTGTTTGTCTGTTAGCAAAATAACTCATGACCCACTGGATGGATTTCAGTAACACTAAGGAAATACAGATCGGATGCACCTGTACGTCTGATTAACTTTTGGAGTCAGTTCAGTTCATGGTGGCTGCCTCAGATGACTTCAGAAAACACAATAAATGTTACAGTGACGTCTCTTGCAAACTTCTCAAGAGAGACAGTTGTGATTCATTATCAGTTCAACGAGGAATTATTTTTATTTATATGTTATAAAAATACACATGCACTTTTTTCACAACTTAAATTGTGCATACCCATCTGCTCAAGACAGGCTCATGTTAAGGCTGCTGTTTAATATACCATATTATATTACATTATTATTGTTTAGTTTATATCTTAGATATTTTAGTGTATCATTTAACATATATCATAGTGTATATCTTAGATCTTTGTATACCGGTGCTGTTTCTTTTTATACTGTATATTTTTGCTATTTTTGGGTGTAACTGGGACCTTGTGTACACAGTTTTGTTCCACCTCATGTACCACATGTGATGCAAATGACAATAAAGAACTTTGAACCTTGAATCTTGAACCTTGAAATTACAAATAAACTCACCAGAGAACATACCTGGTACACCAAATATATACACGGTACATAGTGGTTCAGATAGATACAGATACCAGTACATCGCAGGTGCAGTGGGGACCAACTGGTGTCACAGTGTCAGAAGCTGCACTTAAATCTTAAAATTGTCCTGCATTCCTTCACATCAGAAACATTTTAAAGACTCTGACAGCAGACTCTGTAAAGTGAACGCTACAAAAAAAAAACCTGACAGAAAATTCTTCAAGATTTTAAATTGAGATGTCTTTAGCTACCAGGAGCTGGAGAACCTGAATAAAGTTAAGAGGACAAATACAGAGTTTATAACTGCTGGGACCTACTTAAAGCCAATGAGCTGTTACTTCTTGATAAATAGTCCAGACACTGTTGATGATTCTGTCTCTACTATTGAAATTATAGTAGAGACAGAATCATATCTAAAGCACATGATGTTGGATTCAAACAGTGAACCAGTTTAAAGAGATAACTAAAAGGTTGCTGTAGATTATTATGGAACTAAATCAGGGACATGACATTTGTTTGAAAACTTTATTTGAAATGAAAAGTCTGGTTTTCATCTTGAACTGTCAGCATTGGTAGGCGATTTTTTTTTGGAGCCATAATTCAGACAGTCACTAAGAGCTTGGAGAAAACACTAAAATACTTCATTTAACAAAACAAAACAGCTAACATGGCAGTATAACTTACACAAACTCGAAGGACACAAGGAAAAGAAACGCAGGAAGCATGAAGCAGACTGGAGCTTGTGGTATGAAGGCCAGTAACGCACTGATGGTGAGTAGAGATAAAAACGGAGTACAAAGGGCACGAGGATAAAGGACAGAGGTAATGGGAAAGTAGAAGACCCTGAGACGATTGCTGACTGAGGACCGGTGAGAGTTTGCTCCTTGGTGAAAAAGCACATGAGCAGACTTCTAAAAGGCCCGGAATACTCCATCCAAAGACCAACAGTCAACTCTCAGTCATGTGATTGTAGGACGTTGGTTTTCATACACACCTTTCACAGTCCATGAGACACATGGGACAGAGCAAACCCTCCCGCTGCAGTATACGATACCGCATGCTACGCTATGAGAGACGATTTGGCTGCTTCGGATGGAGTACTAAAGACTATAAACAAAAAAACAGATGAGTTTAAAAAAATAACAATAGCAATCCTCACATTTATATATGTATATATATATATATATATATATATATATATATA